GGGGGCACACGTACGAATCGCTGAGGATTATCAAACAAGGAAGAAACAGCTGTCGAGCACTCCCTGGTTTTCAGTGGTTTTCTAACTGAAGTCAATTTTTGTTCCCCGAATTGAAGCAGAACTCAAAACAAATCATTCATTTATTATTGGATAGTAATAAAAGTTACTAAAATGCTTGACTCATAAATAAAAAAGTTTAGAAAGATGTAAATGTAGAAAACTTATCGAGTTTAATGATCAAAATTTTTATATTTATAAATGGAAAGGCAAAATCTTTTTCTGCTTCTATGACTAATTTAAAATATCAAACATTTCCAGAGATCGTGCAACAGTCAGAGTTACATTTGTCTGGAAACTGCTGCAGTCATAATAAGTGGTCACATATATCTTTACAACAATGTTTACTGAATTTAACAATGAACACGAAGCTCAAATTATTTACTTTTGGGGCTTTTGTTATGATTATTTTTACTAAAACAACCAGGTGATATGTCGGCCGTACCCAGCGTTTGCTGTCCAAACGTATCACCGAACACTTACCCTCATGGTTTTATAAAGGAGAAAATAGCTCCCCCAAAGCTCTATTCTGGAACACCTGATCCAATCGGAGCACAAAGCAAAGCCACGAAGTAACTGCAAAATCATCTACAGAATACGTGGGAATCTTACTAAAAGAGTACGGATCAAACTTCTTCACACCGCAGAAGCAATGGCAATTCACGTGTTAAAACCTGAACTCTAAATACAAAAGAAGTTCGCTGAGTCATTAAATTTACAGTGGATCTGACCTATTTTAACACCAAATACGTCATTTTGTTTCGTCTTTTTCTTGCTTTTTTGTTTCTTTATTGTATAATATTTTACCCCCATCTCTTAATAAATCTCTACTCCTTATTACCACTGTTGTTAACTTGACTTTTGTTTAGTTTTAATTTCAGTTAAGCACTACTCAACCTCGTCAATTAGATTACGTCACTCAACTTGCCTATTTAGTCTTATTTTAGTTTCTAAGTAATTAACAAAATTTATCATCTCAAATTTACAATTCTAATGACAAATCTTTGGAAATATTCATTTTGTTGCTTAAAAGAATTTACTATGTATATGCAATTGTACATCTTGAGAATGATTTCGGCGAAAAAAGAGTAACTCTTCGCTGAACACCTTTTCTTTTACAGGAAGTATTAGATGCCTGCACACTTCGCTCATACAAAAAGGTACTTATTGAAGCTCACCGAAAACATGAAGTGCATGTCTGTTTACTACATTTTGCCTTAAAGGTTGGTTTATAAAACTGAGCAAACATATTCTGTCATAGAGTATACTCATTAACTTATCGGAAAAGATTATTTTTTTTGCTTTAATCCAACCATTTACTAACATTAGTTTTAGATTGTGGGAAAGGAAATGAATAATATAAACATTTGTACTTTGATTATAATCAAAAACACTGAAGAAATTAAATGTTAATGCATATGATACGTAAGATACAAAGGTTTTGATGAAAGCGGTAAAAATGCCACACACACACACATAAGCACTAGATGTCTGTCTAATTCTCTTATTCTCTTAAAAAGATTAAAATCAAGGCCACCACAAGAAAAATGTGGGTGGGATGTGACACGCTATAATTACTTAAAGGAAGTCACAACAAAACCGCAACTTTCCCATGCTAAATTGTTTTCACATATCACACAGAACAAAACGACAAATCTCGAGTGGTGCCAAAAAGCAGTTTCGGGAAAACTAGATATCTTTTAGTACAATAAAGCAGAATACCGCAAGTACTAATCATCCATTAAATTTGAAAAAAAAACAATTATTAGAGCTCTATGCATCTAACCACTTATTAACTTTATATATATATATATACATATTACCTTTTTTATTTTTGATTACAGCTTGATGCCACACCGTGTTTTCAGTACAAGTATAGAATTTTCAGCATGGATATCGGTAGCCCAAATTTTGCAGGCCGACCATAGATATCGAGTGTGCGTCGGCAGACGATCGAACCCCGGACCATCTGCATGGTCGGCGAGAGTCCTAACCCCTGTGCCACCGACGCACATGAAAGTCCATGAAAGTCACATCATGGTGTGAAATAAGAGAACTAGGGCAGTGGTTCGGTATAATTCCATAACCGAATAAAACACGTTGATTCAGTATTATTTATATAGTGGTAACGTTTCGGGCAAAATTCGCTGATTATAATCATATCGTTTTAATGATATATATATATATATATGATGTAGTAAAATTATTACCAAGGTTATAATATCGAACTTTTCTATCATGCACTATAACGTATCGGCTGTAATGAGTCAGATTCTAACGAAATCTAAGCACAAGTACGGTGGGTCTATCTAGAACTTCTCGATGTGGCAGCATCTGTGGCATCGACAACATACATCTCTATCCATCAAAGGGTATGTACACTATGCAGGAGTTTGTTCCTTCCTACTTTACCGCTAAATCACACCCGATGAAAACAGATAAGTACAAACTACATGTTCGTAAAAACAGGTGTCATCGTCTAACTGCTCCCGTCATACAACACACAATATTCAGCAATATAAACATCAGATGTAGGGTTAAGTTAATGGACTCCAGTCAATCAATGAGGACTGAACGAAACTCATATTTAAAGACTTTAGATGATATGATGCAAAAAAGATCCGAATGATGCAGATACGTGCTTTGTTTTTCCTAGAGTACGATATCCTCCTTTCCAATATGACTTTTACCCCTCTGTTTTAAAGCTCTCTACAGCTTTTGGTCACATTAGCTTTGCTTTGTTTTCTTTTGTTTCAGTTTCCCACTATTGATACACTCATTTGCAAAGCTATACGCCTGAAAGCTAGTCATTTTTATCCTTTATTCAATGGGTAGATAAAAATTGTAGTAATAATCATTGTCGTGATTCTAGATCATATTTTGACACTGCCTTCCAACCCTAAAAGAACTAGAAGTAGAGTTTTGTCATTTTAGTCGTAACCACTGATCGACTGGCAAGTTAACTCTGCTCAGAAGCACAATAGTTCGATTCACACGCTTGTAAACAATACATAAAAAAGGGAAAAAACAGAATTTAAGTGGTACAGCAATGCAAAAACATGTGACAAGAGATAGAAATTTAATGATGAGTGAGTTTAGATGTTTTTGGAGCTCGAATATACGCAAACTAATAGAATTTTACGAGTGGGGATGTCAACCCTGATTTTTGATAGTAGCAAATTGCCTAAGCCAAACTGATCGAACAGCAACTGACGGGGTTTTCTCAGAAGAACGCAAAATGACTGCCTGACATGTAAAGACCTTTTTGAACGTCTGAGACTGACAGAGTCAACTATTCCTCGACCAAAGATGCACGAATCTAGTCTACCACCTCAGCCAATTCTAGGTATGTTGGGGTCGACCTACCATCCAACTTCAAAAAGGTTGTCCGTAATGTTAGAGCCTGCAATGCGACAATTGTACGAGTACTCCTTCCGAGATACTTTTGAATTTATTGACTGCATAAAACACTTACATGTAAGTGAATTCAGACGATAAACAATTATTAGGTCTGATCCAATGTGAATGCGTCACACCTACAGTTTTCATCAGTCCACCACGTAACCTGTACATCCTTACATGATAAAAGACAAAAGTCAAAGACTCCATGAATTATGGTCACGTTTTTCAAGATATTAGTGGCATATAATTGTGTGATTTTTAGACATACATCACAAAAGGTTGTATGATTTACCAGATAAAATTTCAAATATAATTTACTATTCAGTCGAATCAAAGATACAAAGGTTAGTAAGAAATTGTGTAAATGGTACATTTTAAATAGAATATTTCCTTGTCAATAACGTCACGAGAAATGTGAAGTGTAGTTATTAACTGAATATTATATGTTTACAGTAGTATTAGGTGGTCCTGCAATCCTACAGACAGTCTACAAAATGTATACTGTAATACACCGACAACATATTGGTTTCAACCATTCAACATCTTCAGATAAGGACTTCACTCATGCAAACAACTCTCGACCCTAACACGGATTAAAAGCTAAGTTAACTGATTGACATCTTCAAATCTTGAAGCCCATGGAAAGCGGCGTCAACATAAAATTTGAAAGTTTACATAAAGACTACTTGGGCAATATACACAGCCCGTAAAGTCAGAGCCCTCCCTCACATGAATACAAAAGATAAGTCTTCCAAAAGATGATACTGACTGAAGTAACGAACTCAGACAAAATCCTACATGATCAAATGAGAATAAAGTTAACCGTTAGCTTTTGATCTAGCTTATTGAGATGAAGCTCCAAAATCATAACTTAATAACCATTCTGTGCGTTTAAGTACTAAAGTACAAACCAAACCTATTGTGCTAAGTCTACTAGCACTACTCTTCATAAATAATAAACGAGAAACGTTAATATCCGACTGTATTTACGATAAGCAGGTAATTTTTATTTAGACTATATTATTTATGTTGCGCCTGCCATCATGATGACGAATCCCACGTTACCTGAAGGTGCACACCGCGTAGACGCTTTGGTAATTACGTAGTTATGGTTCAACTTACTACTTTGAAGTTTCCTCCTTGTTAGGCACGGCACTGCTGGCCATCTACGAAAAGGTTTTATGGCATTAAGTCCAAAGCTTAGTATATATGCTGGTGTTTGCAGTGAAGTTATAGTGAGCAGTAACAACGAAAACAGCTTAAAAAAAGTCATGTAGATACTTTACTCTTTAGTATCAATATAAGCAAGCGATTTCAAAACTTTTATAGTTTTTGGTTGGGAGAACTATACATCACCTTTACTTAGATAGGTTTTAACACATCTCGAACCCAAGATTGCATTTTGTCGCAAGTGTCATATAATGCGTGTCATATCCAATACCTCATAAGAACCCACACAAGAAGCAAAAAATAATAAGTATTAAATATTACTTAATACATTTGCATAGCAATTATATGCAAAATATGAACAAATTGTTTACCTTCTATCCATAATTTATCAAAATCTGTTTCTACTGTAACAGCCTTCAAACCAAAGCAAAATAGTCCGAGCACCACGACACAACTGAGTACCTTCCAATGGTGAGTATAAATAAAGTCCTCCAACCGCTGAAACTTGGACCTCCACCACCAATGAAGTGTTGTGCAATATGCAGGACCATAGAATAGATTCTTCAAGATAATATTTACTCAATGAAACAACATACCTCAGAAGACTCGTCTGTGTTCTTGCTGTTCAGGCTGCTCGAAGATGAAGAATCAATAACAGTTTTAATTCCAGAGGAGCTTATATACGATTTTGATGCACATCCAGCTGGTAATCCATCACAAGAAAACTGTCTAGCACTTTTCATATCTCACATGAAGTGCTCCGAGGCATTAGTGAAGAGAAACACCATAAGAACCTGACATCCCTCCGAACAAAAGTATTTAATTGCCGACCATTCAAATCAGAAGTGCAAAACTAAAGAATTACTATGGAAATGCAAAACAGCTTTACAATATAGCAGTTACAACACCCGCTGCTGACCTTGTGAGAAATTAACGCCGTTTGCTAGTTTAACGAAAAATAGTTAATTAAAACAATCGTAGTAACCAAACCAAAGTATGACAATGGGATCTATTTGTGAGAAAATCCAGGTTCTGGATGAAGCTTCCTACAATTTTTTTATTGAATGACGAGTGGAATAGAACGAAATCACTTGAAATAAAAAAACTTTCATTAGTTTAGGACGAGAAATAGGTTTATTTATTTTAATTATAGCTTTATTCCACACATTATTTTGGCAAAAGTATGGAACTTTCAGCATGTGATATGTGTAGCTCAAATTGAGCAGGCGACCACTGATATCAGGTGTGCGTCAGCCGGGGCCTGAACCCGGACTATGTACATGGTCGACGAATGTCCTAACCGCTGTGCCACCGACGTTGCTTAAACTTCCTTTGCCCTGGTCATTTGGAGATTTTCAAATTAGTGTTTTAATACTACGTGCATTCTGTGACCAAATACAGTAGTATATTATTACCTACGAACTCGTGTTGACAAGCGTTACGGTTAGAGACGTGACCACTAAACTACTTGGGGGCAAAGTGAATTTTTCGGATTGTAGGCAGCAAATGATGCTATACTCCTAGTCCTTGGCGTTGATATAGGCTAAATTCTGTCGGATAAGTTTGCATTGTGGTCATCATGCTAGGTGGCTCATCATTTTATTTGGTACTCATGTGATCAGGCTACGTTACTTTTTTTCTCTGTACTTTCTTTAGGTCAGCGACGTCCTAAGAGTACCCAGCTCATTTAAAAGGACCATAACACTTATTGTGCTCAAATATACTTCTTTTGCGCGTCGGTGGCACGGCGGCAAGACACTCTCCGACCATGTACATGGTCCGGGTTTTTATTTTTGGCCGATGCAATCCTTCACCTTACTAAGCCAGTAATAAAAAAGCTGGTAAAGAGGAAAGATTAGACATGAATCTGGCAACCCCATCCTGTAAAAATAAACACCACTGCTACCGAAACTTTAAGGCTCTAGATTGAAGCCCTATGTTCCACTGGAAAGGTGAAGGAATAAAAGTGTAAAAATAAAAATACTTCTTTCATTATCATACAGCCAAATAACTAAGTCTATTTATTCATGGTAGATTACCAGTGCGTACAATTTAGGTAAGGTACCTATTAAATGGTACTCATCTAGTAGGCATGTGTTAATTATTGATAACACTTCCTCTGCAATACACATTCGTTATCATTGGAATGTACTGATGAATGCTATTAACTACATTTATAGCCTCTCACAGTTAACCAGGGGGTCTTAAGCCCGATGAAGAAGTTAAGTTAATCGAAGAGCTAGCAACCACACATCTTAAAAACTCCTTGATGAAAAATGAAACCTCAGAAAAAATATGCTGGTTCTCCCCTGGAATGAGGGATACTCCTAAATACTAGGACGGATGATGATTGCCGGAAGATTTTTTTGGGAAACTAGTCACCCGATTTGTCTCCTCCCGTCGAGAGCGAAAATAAGTGTGGACACAATGTCTGCACAAGACCCGTGGCTGTTAAGGCCAATCAGGTTCAAAGGAACTGAAAAGATGCTGTTTCGTTGTTCGGAATCTGTGAGAGCAGATAGAACGAAATGGATTGCTCGAGTCGCTAGATGGATGGGCGCTAATAGTTGTTAGTGGTCACCTGGATGACAACCATAAGTGCACCAATCAGGATGCCATAAATAGCACCAAAGGCTTTCTCTCGTGATAGTGGGGAGGGAGGATTGCCGAGAACAACTGCAAGCACTCCTGGACAAGATACTGATAAGGTGGCGACAGTGAGACTCATAGGAACTATGAATGCTAATCTTCGATAAGTAAACACATGAAGGAAACTAATCATACATCAGCAGGCGCTCAGTGAAAAGAGTGGGAACCGAGAGCTATTTGTAGACTACTGTGAGATTAATTATTTCAGCATTAGAGGTGGCAAGCACAGTCACAAGGAAATGTGCAAAGAGACTTAGGTCTTCCCAAAGAGACATGAAAAAATGAACAGAAGACAAAGGAGAGAAGGATGGCTAAGTGAAAGATGAACCAGTGCAGAAACTAGCAGAAGAGAAGCCCGTGGTATATACAGGGTACTGAACAAAGGGGAGAATCGAGAGTTAAGGAAGAAAAAAGGTGCTTCAATAATTCACCACAAAATGAACTAGAACGAGTTGCAAATAAGAAGGACCTTGAAACTGCATATTGAACAACCAGGTCACCATTAAGATAATGCCGGACAGAAACGGTGAAGAAAACAGAGTTATCAGTAAAGAACAGAAGAGAAAATTACACGTTGATCACTTCAAAGGAATTGGATTAATCAACTGCCAGTGAATACCAAAACTCCAACGAAGGCAGGAGTCTTGAATGCCATAAAGTTGCTGAAAGCAAGCGGCGGAAGAAGCAGGACAAGATGGAGTTCCTCTAGTGGCTTCAAAAGACTCACACAACACAGTGGGAATGCTCACCTTCAAAGAAAACGACTGAAGACCCGGTAAGAAATGATGAGCATTCGTGCTTCTGTCCATACTAAGAAAAACATTAGGCTGCGCCATTCTGAGAGACTATATGATGCTCTGGACTCAAAATTTTGCCCTAGACAAACTGGATTCAGGAAAAAGTGGTCCTGTGCACAAAAAATGGCCAGGGCATTCACCATCATACAACTTACCCCAGAACGGCAGTCGACTTTTCACCTTGGCCTCATGGAGTTTGTAAGAGTCTTCGACATCACTGACTTCTATTAACTGCCGGTGTAAACTACAGTGACCTTATATGTGCAGAAGCCGAGTGCGATTCTACGTCGTTATGGTGTCCTCAAGAAACTATTTAGAAGTTTTAATAGCTGTGGTCTTCTGAGTGAGTCGAACTGTGCATACCACCGATAAGCTTGGCACCGAACGGAGGGGACTGCTGTCCAGAGTTTACATCATGTTTTCAAGTAGTAATAGTTGGTGTGGGTGGCTTCACCTACACCAATCTATCATTGGTGCATACGATATCCTGGCCAACTTGCGGAATTAAAATAATTGTTTAAAATGTTGAACGAGAAAGCAAATGAAAACTCATAGGCCAGCAGTCACGGAAATAAAAATCTATCCACAAATCAGTAATCACGAAGTTTTAACAGGTAAGACTGACTGTGGCTTATGAAGGTGATAAAGTGATTAAGATATTAAGCGATACCGTTGTAAGAGTTGGACTTAGGGTTTGCCTCTAACTGACAATAACACTCTTACAAAAATCCTTCACCGTTTATAACCTTAATTAGTACTCTGCCTACGTGCAAGTACTAAGGAAACGGAATTGAAGTTAGAAGACTCAAAATGCCAAGTTTAACCGGACCGGAAGTATATTTACACCACGAGATATGCAATTTGATAAGGAATACAAAAATACACACTTATCTGGATGTGAGACGGCTGTCGGCTCAAAGAGTGTACTAGGTGAAAGTACAGCGAGGGAGCGAGACAGTAACCGTACAGGAGGAACCGGAGTACAAAGCGGAAGTGGAAGTGAAGTTCAACATGTCAGGTTGCATTCATTCAAACAAAAGTTCAAAGGTACAATGTACACTACAGGTTATCCCCCCCTTAGAAGGTTGGTGGGATAACAGCAAGCTTCGATATATAAAAGTAACAAGGTGGCGTACAATCACGGTGAATGAACAAGGAAATGTGAAGATAGTAATAAAATAGCTGTTTTTCTTTTTTTTTTAAGGAAAAAAAAATATATATTGAGAAAGGAAAGAATGAAGGAAAAAAAATTAAGGCAATTTATGAGCACTATGTACATGATCGCTGGAGTAAGATGGAATATAAGAAGGAATAACGCTGGTGCCTTGGTGCGATTTTTTTTTAATTTTTAATTTTTTTTTTTAACATCGTTTATTTATACGTATTTTTTTTTATTTTTTATTTTATTTATTTAGTTAGTTCTTTTTTTTACGACTCACTATTTCGAGCTGGGTTATGTGGAGGTGTGATGGTTTACCTCCATTACCCACGTTGTTATAACTGGAAGGTGACTCATTAAGTCTAAGTTTCCTCTTAGACTAATGCTCCATCCTTCCTCAACAACTAAAACTAGTAGTAACACCAAAGGCAATCAATATACCAGCGTATTAGGAGGAATAAAGTAAAAGCAACAGAAAAGAATAGAAGAAGAGGTTAAGATTTAAAAATCAGCATAGGGTGTTAACAAAAAAAATTAAGCGGAATAAATGCGAAGGAACTAGTGTAACATGGAAACGGTACGCCAAATTGAAATAAAACAAGGGAAATTGCTAACACTGTGGAAACTTATGCAAGGTACAGAGAAGAGTGTGTACAACCAATAGCTATGAATAAGTATAATCACCATTTGTTAAAAAAAAATGTAGCGAGCTGCATAATTAAAGTGATGCAAAGTAATTACAAGTATGGGTCACAAAATAGATAAGTTTCGTCATGACCTAACTCGAGTGAAAATAGTAAGATCTGTGAAAATAGATTGAGCGGATTAAACTGTACAGCATAGAAGTGACGTATTTACATACCAAAAATATTTCACGGTCCGTTTAACTATACAGTGAAAGTTTTTGTTTTTACATTTTATTATTTTTTTATTTATTTTATTATTTTTTTTTATTATCGGGTCCATATTTTTGGTCGTTTGGTTTGTAATTCCACGAGTATTGGTAGTCACCATACGACGATAGAGTTGATTGATGTAGTTAGCTGTTCGAGTGTAAGGCCGAAAATAAAATGCTAGAACACTCTGTAAAGAGAAAGAAATCTAACAAGGTTAGTAACTGTAAAAGCGGCTACTGCCCACAAACTAAATCAAAAGGGTAAATACCATGGAAAATGAATGTAAACTGCGACAAAGAAAGAAAAAAAATGAGAGTATGAACTACTCTTATACGTAAAAGTGTTTAGTTAACGAATTCGCAGTATCGCTTAGGCCAGTGCACACGCCGACCGGTGCGTGTAACTGTTGCCTTACCTGTCTCATCCGAGGAACTGCTAGGTTTAGCAGGATTG